AAGCTCTAACAGCTGCCAAAGCGGCTTCTGTGGCAGCAGCTTGAATCGCGGCTTTTAATTCCTCGGAGAGGCCAGTAAATGAGGGCGCCTTTGTCCCGGGGTCTCCATTGGTAGGTGATATCCCTTCGGTCCTCAGTACCGTCTCGTCCAAATCAGCCCCTGGAATGGCCGATAATGCCGCCGAACGGCTGTTGACAGTATGTCGAGACATAGTAGAATAACTCGGCGTGATTTACGGTAATCCAACAAAGCTCAGAAGACAATAAAAGATAATTTCTTGGGACAATCAAAACAACATGGAGCGACTTAGTGCGCGCGACAACACATGAAGACACCACAAGCCCCTGCACGCTATGGGGCGCCCCCACAGCTGCAAGGCATGCTAGGACACAGGCCTCGAGTTTAACTTAGCCTAAATTACATTTAGCCACATAAAATTCGTAGTTTTTAAAGCCATATTATGCGAAATCTATTAGATATATCAAGCTCAAATTTTCGTGGAGTGCTAATTGAGCTAATATCTGTAAATATTCAGTATAGATTTGGATTTAGCTTGTTTAAAAGCAAAAAAGCTTATGCTAATGAGGAAAATCATGTAAACAAAGATCCACCTATAGCTTAGGAAAGAAAGCGCTCTGATACTTGTTCTTATAGAAATGTAAATTTTATGCTATTTGTACTTTGTGACAACATTTTGTTTTGAAATCGCTGTAGGCCAATCACACAAGATTTTTTATTTACATTTTAACGAGCACTTTGCTAGGCAAAGCACACAAGATTTATTGCTAATTCAATCACTATTTTCCTACAATGCAAAATATGAAGTTGTCGATCTAAATCCTAATTTCTGTTTTGAGAAAAATCAAGATAAAAGGGAAAAAAAAAACACACAAAAAGAGGAAAAGAAAAAAAAACGCATAGATAAAGTAGCAGTCCTCAAAAAAAAGTTTTAAAGGAGAAAGATAAAAGGCATACATGGCTAAAAAAAAAACAACAAAAATAGATGATTTTTAGATTTAGGGGAAAAATCACCAGATTATTCTGGCTTGGAAGTGCTATATTGTTAAGCAGTCGTAAAAGTTGATATAGAGTTATTAAAATTTTCTATTTTGGGTGCAATTGATTGGTTGATTAACTTACTGGCCGCCATTTTGAATTTCGAATCGAGAACAAGGTCTAACAGACTTCGTGCCCAGAGGTATTTTTTTCTGGTGAAGAACGAACGACAGAAGATTGCCCCTGAGTTCCCGAGGATGTGCTGTTGGATGATCTTTGATTCAAAAATTGGCGAAGATGGATATTTTGGCCTTTCAAGATTGTAAGCATTGTTTACATGGTCATTATGAATTAATCAAAACTCTTGAACTTTGAAATTTTCGAACATGAAATCATATGTATTTACATGTTATACACATTACAAAAGGCCATTGACGATATAGCGGCGATCGGACAATTGTTTTGCTATTTTATGAAGAATCAAATACATGACTAATATGCTAATGTGGTTACTATAATTAATGATTACATATCTGAATTGTGTGAGAAAATACCACACTTATTGCATTTGATTTGATGTCGTTTGTTTCTTTGCTTCTGATATATCAAATTTGAAGTTCTTACAAAATTGGCTAAGGTTGGTAAATTTGCAATACTCTACAGTACAATGAATGCTCTGCCGTTTTGCCTGTCAGACCTGTCATAGTATGAAATAAAACTCATATCCACTTGTTTTTAGCTAAAGACAGGAGCTAATTACTCGTGACCAGGCCCTAGGCAGCGCGTATAATTTTGTTGTTGTTTTTTTCCATGTCAGAAATTTGCCTTCCGGTCTCCCGATAGCCCTCCGATCTCTAAACGAAATATAACATTACGAACTCGACTGTAAACAATCGTATCATAGAACCGTTAAACTGCTCGTGAGGTTACTGTAGCTTTTATAGTAATTCTTTGATATTGAGAAATATATTGAGAAGATATAGAGAAATAAAGGAAGGCACGATATCTCTTTGCCGTCTTGTAACAAATGAATGAGCGGGTAGCCTGTTGTGAGCCTGCAAGTAACAATGCGACAGTACAGCTGCTCGCGCGCATAGTCATGCAAAATGGCCCCTTGTTGGTATATCTCACAATGAAAATAACACATTACAGTGTGCTCTAGCTATTACGGGCACCCTCGGTAAAATAATTTAGTGTTCTTAGTAGCGTGAGTTCGTAAAATAACGGGAGTTACTTTCAGTCATTTCTTTGTAGTGTTTTTCTCTGGGATTCAGCACTGATTTTCGTGCCCGTGATATTGAGGTGTCCGTTATAGCGCGGTGTCCGTAAAGCGAGAGTTCATTGTAACAGTTCTGTTTGACGATCGTTTGTTATTTCAAGGGACCAAGAAGATCCTTAAACAATCATTATAGGAACAGCTTGGCAGAACATCTCTCCATCACGACACAACAACTCTTGCCTCTTCAAGATGACAACAAGAAACTTAAAAGAAACATTAAAATGATGCAAGATGACAACAAGAAACTTAAAGGAAACATGAAAATGGTGCAAGATGACAACAAGAAACTTAAAGGAAATGTTAAGATGCTGCAAGATGAGAACAAGAGACTTCAGGARCAAATGTTGGAACTTAAAGACRATCAATCAAGTTGCAGTTACCTCTGGAAAGTCAACGATTTCAGCCAACAGCTACATCTTGCAAAGCAGCAAAACCGTGACATCATACTGTACAGTGAACMGTTCTACACTCACAAGTATGGGTRCAAACTGAAACTGATGTTATATCCTAATGGAGTTGGTGCTGGCAAGGGTACCCATKTATCAGTATTCATGRTTATCATGCGAGGTGAATACGATGCAATATTGACCTGGCCATTTAATTGGAAATACAAGTTTACCCTGCTTGACCAGAGACCAGACCATGTCAACCGGAAAAATATCGATAGTAGTTTCGTTGATCCTGATGCTGTAAGTGATGCTACGAGCTTCCAAAGACCAACAACAARTATGAATGCAGGGTATGGATATCCTTGTTTTGTTTCTCATGATACTTTAAARACGRAGAACTACGTTCARGGTGGAGTCCTTTTCATCGAAGYTCAGCTAGAAAGTCCTTCTCCACAAAGATGAGATAATTTCAAGGACAAATGGCCATTTAATTGCAAATTCAAGTTTACCCTGCTTGACCAGAAAACACACCACACTACCAGGAAAACAATTACTAAAGGATTCGCGACGCCCGATATCAATTTGCCTAATTTTCAAAGACCAACAACAGGTGATGATCAGGGAATGGGATATGACAAATTTGTATCTCATGGAACATTAGATACTGAGAGCTATGTTGTTGATGGCGCACTTTTCATCAAGTTTGAGTTGGAGAATCCTTCGCCACAAAACTAATATAAGATGATTTCAAGCCGGACCAAGCGCCGATCTTAACAATTACATGTACACAGGAAGACCAAACTAAGACCGAAATAAGTTTGTCAGTATTGCTGAAACTAGAAAAGTTGATCAATTTACAGATTCTGTAAATATACTGTAAA